TCTGACCTACTGTTCAAATCGGTTAAAAGGATTACGAACTAGAAAAAATAAATAGAATAAAAGATTAAAGTTCTTGGCATTGATTAATCTCTGAGGGATGCGCTGTGTATGCAACACATCGTGCATCGTTGGAGGTAATTGAATGCATATCTGACCTTTACAGTGACTCGCGGTGGCCTGTCGATCTATTAAACTAGTGCCGCTATCCTCCCAGACGACAAGTCTGGAACTAACTCACTGAACCCGGAGCGATGAAGGACTTGATGAGACTGGGGAACGCGGGTCGATCCCACGTGTACAGCAGGGCGCCTCCGCCCACTGAGCTACATGCGCCCATACTATTAATTAATTATATTAAGACGTTAAAATGTGGAAAATGGAAGGCTAATGATAGATTGCTATTATGCTTGTTATTAGAAGGGTTGCAACTTTTGCTATTATTTTTCAAAACTAGTATTATTACTATTACATATATTAATAAATTGTTAAAATTGGATTAAATTATTTCAATTAAATTAATTAATTAATTATTAGTTAATTAATTAGTTATTAATTAATTATTATAGTTAATTATTATGTAATATTATAATAATTATTAAAAATTAATAATATAATAATATTAATTGTAATTATTAATAATTATTATTATATAATATCACAATAATTACTATTTATTATAATATTATATTATTATTTATTATTTTATTATTATTAATTTATTATTATTATTTAATTAATTGATTATTTAATTTCAATTAATTAAATTTAATTGAAATTTTGGCTCAACATTTTCTCTGTTTGGTTATGGAGGTGTTTGGCCATGTAAATCGTAGTCAACTTGACCTTTCCAGGCTCTGAGGAAGGCGAAATCCGCCGAAACGTCAGCTTTTACGTAAATAAGGAATTTAAGCAACACTTCATGCTTGCTGGACAGAAGGAGAAAGAATTAATAAATTGTTATTGCAGTCGCTACAATTTTAATATGTGGCAAATCTGGTCATTCTCATTCGATTTTCTTTAAGCACCTATTGTCATTGTTTCACCTTTTTTCCTAAATCAACCACTCCCTGTCTACTAATCGGTGTTCGAGTCGTTAAGACCAGATGAATGATCTGCCCGACTCATCTGATTTTCGACATCTTTAGCGCTTATTGAAATTGATCATTAACGTAATTCAGTCGACTCTTCGATTTCCTCTCGTTCTTCAGTGATAAGGTGTACTTCAAGCACGCTCGTCTACAAGCATCGTATAACGCCGGCGACACATTTTATTTAACCCATGACGCCCACTTTTGTTTGCTTGCCGGATGGAACGACCCCCAATTTTATGTCTTTATGAACTTGCTTGTTTTTCAACCATTGTCTAAAGTTTTTTCGTAGCTGAAAAATTTGAGAATATTACCGAATTCTAAAAGCATTTTTGGCATTCTAGGGGTACATATCTCGGGTATTTCTTGTAACCTATGAAACACGGGTCAAAAAGCTTAGGTCACCGATGATCAGCCAGCTACTTTTCATTGGATAGCGCACGAAAAGATACACTTGGTAGAATCTCGGCACCAATAGGTTGAAGACAAGCCGTAGAGCTGTCGAGTTGTTTTTAAAGATGGGATCCATTGCCTTGTTCACTAATCTTCTTATGTGCTTCACACTTCCTGTTCGTTCGTTCGTTTCTGCTGAACTCTAGGGCTCATCATATTAACTGTTCCCTTTTGAGTATTGATCTATTAAGAGACAATCGTTTCAAACAGTGTGAGAATTAATCCAAAACAAACTGCCCTTTCATAAAAAAAATATAGTTTGTCTCTCAACAATTCAATAGACCTTGTTCCACAATGCCCTTGTGTATGCACCGCCCTTAAAAGGCCCCATGGATTTGTGCCAATCATTTTCCATTTCTAACAATGAAATGGGAAAATGGATAAGATACTAAATGCGACCATTAATAATGAACGTACCTGTGTTGATGTTAGGAATCTGTTCCATCTCTCTAGCAGAGAAAATCGTTTTCGTAGTTTTGTGCTTTTCCCATGTTTAATTCATATCCATCGATCAGAGTGTCATTGTGAACACCTTCAGCATGACGACAGGGCGATCAACCACCACGAGTTGCCTACTTTTATGGAGTTTCTGTCTCTATGGATCAATTGGTAGGGCTGCGGTGTCGAACGCCATTCCTTTATATAGGTAAAAATTCGATTTTCAACTGAAACTTGAAATCATTTAACGTCTTTAAGTCTTGGTTTTATTAACCTAATTGAGAGAAATTGTAATCTGCTCACTTTCATCAGCATAAGAGGAATAAAATTATGTGTACATTCGACCTCAGGAAGTAGTTACTACTGTCTCCCGAAGGGGCTCTCTAGATGTTTAAATAAGTATTAAGGTGGCAGGTCTGGTAAGTAGGACAGACGAAGTAAGGTTTAGTGCTCAAAGTCGTTTAGGTGTATTAAGAACATGGCAAAATTCCCAATATCCACCATGCAGCATGAGGCGGCACGTTGTCATGCAGTAAGTTCGGGCCTTTTCTTCTCCTCTGTGCTTATTGGATTCGGTGCATGCTTTGGTACACCTGACATAATCGTTGACAGTCCTTTTTCGCTTTAGTGAATTTCCTGGTATCCAAGAATTTAAAATTGAACTTTATCATTGGTAACTAAACATATACATAAACAAAAAAACTAAGTAGATAACTAACTAACTAAGTAACTACTTATAAAACTAACTTAAAACTGAGTTTTGAAACCGACGGTAATTTAACCTTGGTAATAGTAATAACTACAGATTCACTGATTGATTGGTCGGTATGGGGCGGATTGCACAGCGGTAGTGATGGCGGGTATCACGAACATAGTGTTAGTTCGGTTTCGCTCCGGGCCAACCAAGCCTCTCATCCCTCCGGTGTCGAGAAATTGGTTCCGAACTTGTCCGGGAAAAAAATCACTCCCTATAATTCAATCGGGAACTCTTCGTATTTTTGTTGAGCAAACGCGAGGTGTTATTATTCTTTATTCACGAATAAGCTGACGTTTCGGCGGATTTCGCCTTCCTCAGAGAATGGAAAGGTCAAGTTTATAGCAATCTACTCGGCCAGACGCCTCCATAACCAAACAAATTGGGAACGCTTCTGCCCAGCTATTTCAGGATTCTAGGGAGAATTGCTTAACCAGCATTCTACGACATTCAAGATGAAATGAAAATCCTCAAGCAGCAGCCGAAGCCGCACGTTAAACTTGAAGGTCTTCATGGATAATGGATGCGAGGAAACGAATCGAACACGAAGTGTTGCAATCCGCTCAGTAAACGTGAAGGCGCGTCATATGAAAAAAGTATTACTTAATACCTTTTTGAATTGCTGAGCTAACTTGAGGCTGGTGAAAATTCCTCAGATCGGTATCGTGTGAATTCGATTGAGCGCAGAGGGTCGTCGTTGTGAAGTTTGTCCCGAGCTTATTTTTTTCTTTTTGATAAACAAAAACAGACCGTCCCGTAATTACGTTATCGTATGTGGGTAAGGTTGCTTTTGTATGATAAATAAAACTACTCCACATGAAATGGAGTAAAATAGAGCTTCGCATTCGAAAACATTACAATCCTTTCCAGGGCTAACGCGTTCACCACCGCACCATGCGAGTCTCCTATGAGAAAGGCTGAGACTGACAGAATGGTGAAGCGAAAGGTTCACATGGTCCTCTGTCTCTCAAATAGTTTTATTGATTCGTTCCATCAGCAACCACCTACGGCCTGCCTACAGAAAATAAAATGTTAAACATTGTGGTTTCAACTACAGCCTCGGCTTAACTGGGTTCAATGTCGTTGTGGGCTCCCCAGACCAATCCCTGACGTGTGATTGCTGATGGTAGTGATCGATATAACTACCTGAGAAACAGGCGAAACGAAGAAATCGTATGGTGTGGTGGTGAACGCGTTAGCTCCAAGAAAGTGTTATAGCCTTCCCCCGGAAAGGGTAATAGAGGTTGGCCCCCGGAAAGGACAATAGCGCGTTCGTTCCCCACCGCATACACCTGCGCTCCGGAGTTTTGCAAATATCTCAGCAAACCTGTGGTTATCCCAGTATCGTCCTTTATTTCATATGAGGGCAAGAGGATGTGGCCACTGAGGAAATCCGAGTGGTAATCGTGAATGATTTCTCCATTGCCTTTCTGGAATCTGCAACTATTCCGCCTGGGCGTTGGAGCGCAATCATCTTGGTTTTGCACTTGGGGAAGCATCGATGAGCTTTTAGGAGCGCTTTTCCCAACCTTTGCAGCTCCGACCATAACTGCTGCTCTTGTCTCTTTGAGATCTTCTCTTATGCCTACCTGCCGTGTTTTGCATATTCCGATGTGGGTTTCCGCTTGCCTATGGCGATCCAAAGCTGGCGTACCAGCCTGAATGTTTCTGGAGGCAAACGATTTTTGCTAACTTTCAAACTTTCCACTCTCGCAGCATTTAGTGAAAATCAGGTCTGCATGATCAAGTCCTCTATAGAGGACTCAAATGCAAGTGCGTTTGCATTGTTAGCAGAGATCGCCACTTTAGTCCTTCGAGATCTAGGAAGCCTAGAATAGTCCTGAGATTTTAGCAGCCTCACCGTACTCGTCGCACGCAAAGCTGTTTCATCGGTGACCAATTTACGTCACTGTGCTTAACGTTTGATACCCAATATAGCTTGCTGAGCTCTAAAGGTGGGCTCGACATATTCACGTGTGACTTGCCAGTCTCTTCTAGAGTAGTCTAGGAGCTAATTTGTTAGAAGCGACTCCTAAAGGCCTCCCATTTTGGCCAAATTGACCCATAGAAAACAATGAACATGAACTGCACGTACGCATGCATGATAAGCCCTCTAAACATAGGAGGTATGTGCCAAATCGAGGCAGCAGCATTAGTGAAACGATCCATCACCTGAACCCACCTGCGTCTCAGTGAAGCACAAGGTCGCTTTCGTCTGAGTTTAACACCTTATCCTCCAAGTGTTTAAATACAGTGAAGTTTAAAAGATGAAGATCACTTCATTTAACGTTAGGTTTTTAAGACACCGATTTACTGCATCGCAAGAGCAACTACGTCGACTTGAAGAGTACGAGGATCAGCGCGAATCGATTCGACGAGCTGTCGCCAAACAGTGGGATCGCTTCTACAATGATTACTTCGACAAAATGAAGACTTATGCTCTCCAAATTGAGCTCAGAAGGTAACGATAGTTGAAGAAAAAAAGATAACGATCTTCAGAAAGGTTAAAAAAAATCAGTTCCAAAATTGGGAGAAAATAGGAAAAATCGCAACTATAGGCAATAAACAGACGAAACACCACATAGCACTAAGTCCTACACTGCTGTGTGCAAAGTTAGTCTGCAGGTACAATGCACTACTTCGAAGACAAACACTGGAGCGGGCAAGCATTGCAGACACAATGAGGCAGTTTGGCTTATCGTCCGCCGGCCTGCTTTCGACAATAAGCAGTGGTGAGGAAGAAGAAAAGCCGAAGTAAGTTACACCGATTTCTCTTCTCTCTTCTAAAACCAAACATTTCCTGTAAAAAAATATCTTTGCGATCATAAGACACAAGTCATTCGATTTGAGTAACCAATGCAGCGGTAATTTGCTGTAGAAAGTATTACAAGCGTTCACACACTACAATCCCACTTTGTTAGCACAGTGCTAGGCGAAGGTGCTCACCGGATCAGAAGAGGATGGAGAAGAAGACAAAAACAACCAAGAAGAGAAAAAGAATAAAGGAGGACAAAACGCCTAATTGTATGCTTCTATTTAGGAGCCCGTTTGGAGAGGTTCGCCCGGAAAAAAATGCGCCGGTAAGAGAAGCAAATCGCTCATCTAAAGCTTTGGATTCTGTGGTGAATTCGTAACAAAACAGTGTCATCGTGCTTTCTGTAAAACTATCAAGATGGAAAGATTCAATATGGAAAATTCATTTCTGCATTATGTGTAGATCTTTCAACTTTTATTTACTGCCTATTCTTTTTTCACGACAGGACACGATGTAAAGCACAGCCATGGGAATGCTGAGATATGGACAAAACTCGGATTCTCAGTTAGGCCTACAAAGCCAACCCATTCCTAACGAACAACTTTTACGTGAGATTTAGATTTATTTTAGAATAGATTTAGATTTAGATAAAAATCTCATCCTGTGGGGACCTGGTGTTGCTCGATTTCTTACCGACGAAATAGCATGTCGGACTTCGCAAGGAAGGACGGAAGGGGTGACACAACCATCCTCCTTTATTTCATATGAGGGTAAGAGAAAGTCGCTTCTAAAGAGACACTAGTAGTAATCGTCAATGGTTTTTTTATTGCACTTTTCGAAGGTGTAACTATTCCGTCAGGACGTAGGATTGCAATCTCATGAGTGGCGAAATTTCAGTGAGCTTTGCAGATGCCTTTCACTGGTTCCGCCGCTTAACCCACAACTGCTACTCTTCTCTCTATAAGGTCTCCTTTCATTGCCTTTCTGCACTGCTCCGCAAGTTCAAAAGTCATTCGGCGGTTACTCTTGGCCCGCGCGATTCCACTTTGTCGTGTCAGTTCGAGTGTTCCTGGAGACAGACGTCCCTTGGTAACTTTCGAACTTTCAGCTTTCATAGCGCTAATGTGAAGATGCTGAACGAACTGGTTTTATCCCTTGTCGAAGTTATCAAGAATGGCATCTTTACAACCGGCAAATGATAAAATAAGTAAATTCCAATAAAATTTCGTTTTCTGAATTTAGCGGCTTTCCTTCCTTCCCACGAGAAATGAAATTTTGCATAAAGGACGCGGTGGTTTGGTCCCATGTAGAATTTGGAAAAACAGCGACATCGCTTGGGCAAAACCTTTGATTACTATGATGTGGTTTATTTCTTTAGGGTAGTCTCCATTGGGAGACTGCCACCTCCACCGTTGAAAGCTGGGCTTCTACAATCCTGAGTTACTGTGCTCACCCTGCTCGTTTCACACGTAATCCGTAGGTTCCAATGTGGCGATCTTCCCACGTTCATCTGGGTCCAATCTTGCTACTTTACTTTCTAATGGCAACCGCAATGAATTTATAGTCCTCTCTATAGAACTTCTTCACGTCAATGTAGAACGTCTCGACGTAGCTTGATGTTAGTGTGGAGATTTAGAGGGCTGTCAAAGCCCGCATTGATCTACTTCTGTGCAATCGTAAACGTTCGATCACGGTTGCTGGTTTCTGAACACACCGAAGTTTGTAGCCAAACTCGTGATGACGAGAACAACGACGCCGTCGACTCTACTATCGCATATTCCGATGCACAGTTCCTTTGCGTTTCCATAAACGGCGTTGAATGGATAGCGTCTTTTCATCTCAGCCACTCCGAAGGCGTCCAACCTTAGCCTTTTTGCCTTCTCGATAAAGTCCCTGCCGAGTTCTCAGACGCAACGCAGCGTACATTGTAGACAAAGATCATTATCTATGTTTTTTGCGATTTAGTGAGCCTAGAATGGCGCTGAGATTTTAGCAGTTTCTCTGTACTCGTCCTCCCAACGCCGCCACACCTGGAGCTCATTTCGGGGTCAGTGGAATAAGACCGAGTGTTAAGTACGTAGTACTCGCGTATCGCTTGCTGAGCAGTGAACGTTTAGGAGATAGATATCCTCACGAGTGGCTTCCCAGCCTGTGCCAGAGTATATGAGGACCTTATCTGCTGGATGCAACTCCTAACCATCTTCATTGGACATCTCAGTCACTCACTTTCTTGCAGGTCCTTGGTCGAATTTCCTGGTAGAATACAATACACATAAAGGAAAACACATGCATGCATGCATGCATGAATACGTCTCGTAAATGCAAAGTTTGTGTCAAATTAACGAAGAAGAAAGAGGGAGTCCACACTCTGGATTCACCTGAAGTATCAGGTCGTTTAAGGTTCGCGATCAGCCCCCTATCGCCTAGGAGCGTACTACGTGCCCCACGACTAAACGGCATCAGATTTCTCTATTAAAGAAATTCTTGGCAGGGTCTAAAAGTAGAACTAACAACCTTGTCTTTGACAAATGAAGAATACCACCTCATCTTTGTGAATTTAAATATGACCGTGATTTGGATGATTCTGCGACACATACTACAATGAACAGTCGGCCTCCTATGTTGTAGACAACAAGCACTGCGTTGTGAGAGAAACGACGAGAACAATAAATCAATAGAAATAAAGCAAAAAGTGAAGAAATAAGTAATAACAATCAAAGAAAAGTAGTAAAAATAGTAAGTAAAGTAGTAAAAAGTAGTAAAAATATCTTGGTTCATTACCTCTCCTCTCACCCCTCTCACACGAAAAGGGCGCTTATAAGAAACATGTTTCGAACAGCAACCAACGTGTGCACGGGAAGAGAGCAGAGAGAGGAGTCCCGGAACTTGGCACGGCAAATAGCCGTTTCTAATGGCTACGAAACTGTAGCTCAGAATAGGTGTAGAGGAAATCGTAGGCCTCCAAACGACAACTCTAGCGATAGAAGGGTCCCGTTTATCCTACCCTTCATCTCAAATGATATAAGTACAGCTATAAAACGCTGCTTAAGAAGGGCGCGCTTAGAGAATTCGGTGAGCGTAGTTGAAATACCACCGAGTAATCTTAAGCGCCAGCTAGTTCGTAACCGCCTATATGACCGTCTATGTGCAACTCAAAATTGCATAATTTGCCCCAGTGGTAGAAACGGTGATTGCATGAGCTCGGGTATAGTTTATCTGATCTCCTGTAAGACGTGTGGTGACGAATACATTGGCGAAACGGGTAGACCCCTCTGTGTCCGCATGAAAGAACACCTAGCCGGCAAAAATAGACCAAATACCCCGCTAGGCACGCATAGGACCCAGAGACATTACGGGGACGACTTCGAAGTATGTGTCACGATCCTCGCACGCGAATCAAGAACACAGGCGCGAAAAACTCTCGAGGCACTCTGGATTAATTCCAGAAATCCGAAAATGAACCGCAGGGAAGAATGCCTCATTATCACGCGTGATATAGGGCAGTATATAAAACTGCTTTTCTGATGTGAGGGGCACATTATACTTCCACGTGATTTCTGTGCGGTTGGTCTCTACGTGACATACTTAGTGGAAAGCTCATAGAAAGCGGTGAGTGTGCAAAGCTGTGTTCAAAGTGATTGAAATCTTGGTTTGGAGTTTCTTTGTTTGGTTATGGAGGCGTCTGGCCGAGTGAGTTGCTATCAACTTGACCTTTCCAGGCTCTGAAGAAGGCGAAATCTGCCGAAACGTCAGCTTAATCGTGAACAAAGAATAGTAACACCTCGCGTTTGCTCAACAAAAATACGAAGAAAATAAAAGAAAAGTTGGAGAAGGATAATTAAGTAAAGAATAGAGAACGATATTTATGTGTTGTGTTGAGAAGCTAACAGTCCGAATTGACCTCTATGAGTGAAGGCACGTGAATAAATAACAGCCTAGGCAATTTTCTTTGTTTACACACCAAAAACAAACAATGTTGAAAACGAGGTCTAAGCGCTTTATATCGACTAGAAAACTTCTACAGAAATACTATGTCGTGACAACACGGACCATCCATAGTACTCATATTTACACACCTCCACAGAATCAATAATGGAAGCTTTGGACATCTATCGATCCTTGGTCAGCAAACAAATATTCTTCGTGATCTGTATGAAAATTTCATCACCAAAACATCACCATTGTAGTACGAAATTGGTGCACCATCTCGTCAAAGTTATTTACTGCCGCGCTCCAGTATGTCATCCGAATACTGGAATGGAACAAAGTAAGAGTAATAATCGACGATCGGGAATTACATAATCTTCGCTTTACTGACGATATCGTTTTTTTTACAATAGCAAGTCGGAACGAATGTTGCCTAGCCTCTAAATCGTCCATAGGAGCATTGTTCCTCTACTAAATCTCACTGGAGCATGCCATGTAGAAGCTAATTTGTTTCTGATGCCCCTTTAACACTAAACGGTCTAAATGCACTGTCGAGAACACGATGTACGAATTAGCTTTAAAGCTGAACGGAATGAATCGAGCGGCTTGACGAGCTCTCCACAGCATCGATAACGTAGTGAGGAAAGAAAAAAACTTCCCGAATACGTGCCCACCTTTTCGACTCTACGATACTCCCTCAACATATGCGTCAGAAATCTGGTCCCTAAGTAAGCGTAATCAAAGGTCACACAACGTTTTTCGAAGTGCAGTCAAAGTAAACGATGCTAGGAGTATCTCGTATCACGTCAGTGAGGAAATTGACTCGAAGCTCTAATATAAGTCTACGACCAAAAATTAAAAGCGCCGCTGTATACGCTACACTGTGAAAAGTAAGATGTCCCGAACACGTAATGCATATGAACAACAACCAATGGACAAGAGCCATTATTGTCCCGATTCTCTGAGATGTCAGACACAAAGCAGGTAGACCACTTATCCAATCGTCAGAGTCATTTACGAAAACCGTAGAAGAAATATATCATTCTCGAAAAGTCTCTAGAGGGAGCAGAACCCACTGGACCACTCTTGCAGGAGACAGATAAATGTGGATGGTTTACTTGCACTCTGCCGAGTAACTCGAAGATCAATTACAAGACATCTGATGATACCACTGCCTGTGCACCGTATCAAAATTTCGCCTATTTCCATTTTTCCACTTTTTTATTGCAATTAGATCACCGTTCATCATATCTCCTTCCACCTTCCCGTCCCATTTTTTTAAGCCAAGCGCATTTTTATGATAGTAAACCAGTGTTTACGACATCTAACACTTAAGAGGATTTTATTACATTAACACATTACGTTAGGCGTTTAAGCAGTCCGGCGTTTCTATCAGGAAGCCTAGCTAAGAGTAAACCAATACCAACATCCACTACCGTCCTGGTATCAAAGTCGCATGGTGATGAATTTTTCTCTGATCCACAAGGGCTACGACTTCCTGTGGTGGCGAAGATTTGGGTCAGACTTTAACCAGGCTAACCTCGGGATTCCAGGAAATCACAGTGACTTAACCAGCGAATCTCCAAAACAAAAAATGGAGATTGCGCTGGGGCCCGCACAATCAATGAGGAAGGACCATTCAAGTTTCAAGTACGAAGTAAGTAACACTTTAAGTTAATAATTGCTTTAATAACGTCAGTGGAAAAACGAAGGTTTCAATTCACTTCTTTCCCAAGCAAAAGTTACCTACTGGTTTAGGCAGGCTTGAAAGTCACCAATAATTCTCCATGAAAGATGTGTAGGATGAAGGTGTGGAAAGCCTTCATAATGTTTTCCTGAAGAGGTATAAAGCCACTCGTTTGAAGTTAGAATCGCTTCAGTGCGACTTTCGCGGTCTTGTCCACACGATTTCGTTGCGCACGAACATATGGTATATATTATATATACATAGGACGTACAAGTCAGTGAGGGGCAGCATATACAAAAGAATGATTCTTCTCAAACCATCTGTTTTTAAGGTTGCATTACTTCTAATGTTTAACCGTTGTGCGTCTCCTTAAGACAAAATTCCATGTCTTGAGTGTACTTTTTCAAAACCTTTCGCATAAAGGATATCTTTGATTGTCATAACTAATGCTTCTCTCTCTCTCTCTCTCTATATATATATATATATATATATATACATATATATATTACATGTACAAAGTCCATGAGGGCGGCCAAAAAGGACCTAATCATAAATATCAAATTCCTCGATGTTAGTAACAAGCGGAGCGCATCTTTTCTTCTCAGTGGTGGCAGTTGATATGATCTCGTCGAGGTACTGCAGCATCGAGCGCACTTCTCTCGGCGACGCCTGAGTGTTGAACTTAAACTAAAATAGAAAGCATAGTGGGAAAGGACAGCAATTTAAAGTTGTAATAGCTAAATAGACAAGATCTCTTTCCTCAGTGATTGGAAATTATAGAGGATTTAGATGTTTCTGCTATGTTTAAGAATTAGCTACTCAGGAATTCACGAAGTCTGCTGCAAGATGTAAAGTCTTTCTAAAATGATAAAAAAGCACCTAAAATAAATCTATGTTTAACCGTTTTTACTACATCATCGTGGATAGTACGTTGACGTTTAGGGGATATTAGGCAGCAAACGTAAGCCCCTCCACCGTTTACCGCCTCATCGTGGCTGGAAGGTGTTACTGGATGTCGGACTGTGATGTAGAGCGGAAGGATTCATTCCTCCGGCAGGGTTTCTCAAGTTGAGAAGAAATCCGGGTTTTCCATCAGGAAGCCTAGCTAAGAGTGAACCAATAGCAGGATCGGCCGCCGTCCTAGATCGCATGGTGGCAAATCTCTATCTGATCTACAAGGGCTGCGACTGCCTGTGATGGTGACTACCTGGAGCAGACTTTGGCCAGTCTGACCTCGGAATTCCAAGGAACCACAATGGCTAAACCAGCACGTCTCCCAAAAAATGGGGATTATGTTGGGGCCCGCACAACTAGTGAAGACGGGTCGCCCAAGTACCCAAGTAAGTATTGTGCAGTGAACTCGAAATACTATATAATACGAATCGCTGGTAATAAAACGAATTGGAAATTTGACAAGTTTTCGAATATTTACGAATTTTTGGGCAAATTTGTATAAAATTAGGCAACATTTGTTTTCTGTCAAAGCACTCACATTGAACTCATTAGCGACAACTTGTAGCAGTTCGGAGACGGTGATGCAGTGACCACCTAACCAAACCGGTACGTCCCTTGCACCAGTGAAGCGACGACCGAGATGGTGTACCTTAAAGTGCTGCTGTTTTATCAAGTTTTTAGTCTATTTTTTTCACTTCTTCTTTGTTTTCACACCAGTAGAAAATAACTAAAAAACCACAATAGCCGTTCAAATTACTAAAGAATTAGCTAAATAAACATAAGCTTCATAAAAGGTTAAAATTTGGTCCGTAGTACGCCAGCAATCCGACCCATTATGATGAAAGCGGAGTGCATGATGTTTTCAATAAAATAAATCGCAAGGTACCTACCTTTTTCAGATAGCGATTAAGCACACCGAAAAGAGCTGTAGTGAGTATGATTCCCCAGGTCAGATAGGAGAGCGTCATGCACAGCTTCCTCAGGCTGTCTGTCACCGGCAGCAGGTCACCGAACCCGACAGTGGTAAAACTTATGAAGCTGAAAACGTTGATAGAACCACGAATAGTTCCCCGCAGAAACAAAGTCAACATTTGAAATTTGCTCTATTTAGTTAATGTCTTTGCCGATTGAGCCCAATTTTTTGCGCAAATTTTTGAATACTATTACTTCACCAAGTTTTTTTTTTCATGTGTTCACATTGTATTCACAACGTCGATTTTACCAAAAACATACAAAGAACTTGTAGAGAAATAAGCGCGAGGCGCATAAGTTTCTCGAAAAAAATGACTTTCAGCTATCACCCAAAGGAGGCCTAAGACCGCCCAAGATGAGAATACCTTGCACATCAGTATAAAAACTTAATACGACATTAGTCGATCTAATTTAACATCTTCGTCAACAAAAGCTTTGCTACTATAATCGATTCCTTCGAAAAAATTGGTCTCTAGGATAGAATGTTTAGCGCTGCAGAAATCCGGACATGTGCCTGCGTTGACAATCTTTGTCTCACATGCTCCTGTAAGGAGATGCGATGAATGTAGGGTGGAGCAGAAGTTTCTTATTCAGATTTAAGTTTCACATAAACGATCAACTTTTCAACAGTCATCATCGCTAACACCAAAGCCAAGCTCAGTTCCAAGAAAATATTGAAAAACTCATTACAATACTGCTATCCATACAGCAGTGTTATGATCACAACGAAGTACCATTGGCAACTTGAAATTCCATTCCATTCAGCGAGTGGTAATCCTTCAGTGGAAAGGAACATAATGAAATTAATTCGAGCTATGTACTGAGGAAAATTCGACTCAATACGACTACGAAGATCCACAATACGAAGACGAACGACTGTGGACCATCACATCAGATCATCGGGTCTGAAGAAAACGAAAACGTGGAAACGCTAGGCAAATAGGGTTGTATGACAACCTCGTGTAAGCTGAACAATCTCGAACAATCCAGAAAAATGTAATAAAATGAGCTCACCAAGACATGTAGAAGGTTCGGCTAAACATTGCTGTGGATCCTTCTATCCGCTATGATCACAGCCTCCTCGTGCAGTAATCTGCTCACCACAGAGACGAAGGGAGAAGACAATATTTCCAACCATCTTTTACAAAACTATCCTTCAAAACAGTAGTTTGATCGCATTCTGGAACACTTATAATAGAGCGGCAAAGAATTTGAAGGTGTTAAAGACAACAGTGAGCCTATATCGTCGAATATCCGGAGCCTGCTTCGTCAACGAACTCATATTTGCGCTAGTATATTCGTAATCAGGTATACGTAATCAGATTTAAACAGCTTTTAGACCTATCTCCAAGCTTTATCGGCACACTAATCCAGCTTCTAATATCAGTCTGTCGAAATACAGGGCATCCAAACAGCAGAGAACTAGCAGGATCGCTTTTTTGTACAAGAACGAAAATCTACATAGCCTTGGAAATTATATCCTAATTTAGCTGAAGTCTCTAGTCAACAACCACTTTAGGTGGGTCATCCTCATCGCTGTTGAAAGGAAAATTTAAGAAGTACAGCCATCGGAAAAGGTAAGGCTTCGATAGAGTTCCGCTAAAGTGGAGTGAGTGCTCATGCAGTTAAAAATTTTACGTAGATATAACAATAGTACAAGACTACCTTGTCTCTTATTGTCATAATTCGGAAAAGACGAAAGCGATTATGAGAGCGGTCGGTAATAAGAGTATTTCTGCTAATTGCACAGAGGACCACTACAAGCCTACTAAAAAATACAACACAGGATTATTCAGTATCGCCCTCGAAGACGTCCTAACAAACCTTTTAATGAGAAAACATAGCAGTGAAACACGACTGAAACCGCCTAAGCAACTTTCGTTTTGTTAATGGAATTACGGGGTGGATAGCACTATGGTAGTGATGTCGGTCATCACGAGCATAGTGCTTGTTCGATTTCCCTGCGGGCCAACCAAGCCTCTCATCCCGCCGGAATCGGGAAGTTGGTGCCGGACTTTGTCCGGGAAAAAAATCACTCTTTGCAATAAGTAGGAGCGCTTTACCTCGCTTATCTCAGGACTCCAGGGAGAAACGACTCGACCAGCATTCTAACCAGTATTCTATGACATTCAAGGTGAAAAGAAAATCCTCAAGGAGCAGTCGAAGCCGCATGTAAAAAAAGTTGGAAGATCTCCGTGGATAATGAATGGATGAGAGGAAACAAATCGAATGTGAGGAGTGCTGGGACCCGTACAGTAGACGTGATGACGCGTCATATAAAATAAAATTTAAAAAATGGCATAGCAAACATCAAAGCATTTGCGTTAGCCTAGCGAATCAAATACTGGCCGATTTCGATGGTGCAGAAGACCTGGTTTTTCGATGAACCTAAGAAAACAATTATGATGAGGAAATGCTTTCTTCCTCGACAATTGAATATCACCACATATTTCTGCCAGTTACAATTGGTGCAAGAAACACAAAACATCACTTGCAACCAAAGGTTAACAGAGAAATCAAGAGGGTCGGTAAGAGTGAACAACACAATAAACCATCTGTCACGATCTTTATACTCTTTCATCTTACGGCTGCTGCTGCAGTCCGCAGAGAAACCCTGAGAGCTATACGAGACAACGTTGCAGCAAGTGTTACCTAACCCCCATTGAGAGAACAGTGCTAGAGAAATACTGCAACACATCACTACAAGAAAGCAAAGCTCAAACTAGATCCATGTCCAAGGGTCAGTGATGGTGCTTCAAAGCAAGAGTGTCAGAAATCGGCCAACGATTAGTTCTTATGATAACGTGTAAACAGAAGGGCTTAGAGGTACATTCTATGAATAGTTAAGCGAAAATATGTGAAGTTATTCGTAATTATCGAGCGAGCAGGCCTTCCGGATAACCTTGGTATAAAAAAGAGAGGAACGATGGCTTTATACTGGCGATTGTACAGCACAAGTGGCAGGTAATTTACTCACTATTTATTATAAGCACTTATGTAATAATTTTCCTAGACACTTGCTTTCCTGGTCGAGTTGTCCCGCTTCATAGGTCGACACAAATTTTATTCCTGAATATTCTCGCTGTTCTTTGTTGTTTCATCCTTTGGTTTTAGGACTTTATAAGTGATTGAAATCACCTAAAGTATAGGTCGTCCACGCCATGTCGCCTTCCAGTGTGGTCTATAAATATTGATCCAAAGTAAAACGTACATATGAATAGAACAATAATTAATGGTAACGGCATATTCGCCTCGTTGCACAGCTTTGAACGGGCCACTGGCTGAAATTCGCAAAACTGACTATTATTTTACATCGGTAAAAGTTACAACACAAAAATATCAAGTTCTATAAATCCATAAAATTCTCCGTAAGTCCATATTACCACGTGTTCGCTTCGATTCACTCATGTAGGAGATATGAACGGTGGTTACAGGACTGATACAACATGTGATAACACGCAAGTTTAGGTGAAATAACCGTCTTCAATGTTATACCTTTTTATTTTCTGCCTACTATAATTTCGCGGCAGGGTACTAAGCGAAATACAACCACAAAGTTGCTGAGATATTTGCAAAACTCTGGACCGCAGGTGTAACCATCTTCATTGATCCCCTTCACGCGACAGCTCTTGTTGACTCGGTCCGCAAGTAAGTTACGTGGCGTATCTCCGGGGGGTGGGAAGGAGGTGTAAGATGGACCAAAAACTACGGTGTATGTGTCAGAAAGATTCAGCGGACAAAGCACATTTCGGCATTGGATCATCTTATGCAAGTAGTTAATAATAAATAAGGACTTGACCTAGTACTACTCACCAATTTGCAGAGAAACATCAAATACCAAAATCCTTTTGTCACCAACTTGTTGAAGTTCGCCAGGGTAAACAGTACGAGTGGAATGCCAAGGATGGAGTAGAAGATACAGAATAGTCTTGAGATGTCGTTAGTTGGGCTGATATTGCCATAACCTCAACCATGAAACAACGCTTTAAAAGTGTTATTGATTCTTTAAATCTAAAGAGAAAGTTCTGGTTTGCAGAAAAAGATCTTCGAAAAAAACAAGTGGGCAAGCAGTTAGGATGAAACAAGGTGAACGCAAAAGTCTATATATATTTATTTATATAGGCGCGTGTGGCGCAGTGCTTGGAGGTGCCCTGCAACACACAAATGTGATCGATTCTTGCGCTCCTGGCCCACCAAGTCTTCCATCCCTCCGGGTTCGGCAAATTGCTACAAGATTTGTCTGAGAGGTTAGCAGCACTGGCTCGATACATCGGTAGGCAACCGTGAGTCATTGTAAAGGCCAGATATGCATTCAATCACTTCCAAACCATGCTTAATGAAGTCCAATGTATGGCGCATCCCTCAGGGATTGTTCGACGCCGAGAGCTTTATCCTTTTGTCCTTTATATATATATATGTGCGCTACCGTTTACTATATGTTACCCTCGTTCGGCATTGAAATACATTTCTTTCACCACATGGAAGTGCTTTGCAATTGATGTTGAGTCTACTTCTGTATTTTTCATACCCCGGATTCCATACCATAACAATGACTCATTACACCAATGAAATTGAGATCGCAATCAATATGCAGTCAAATTACTGTTAAATGTACTTGTTAGAAATACGGTCCTTTGTGTATTTTAAAATGCAAAGTGGAGCCTTTCCCGGCTGACGCGCTCTACAGCTCTGTTTGATAAATCTGATTTTGCTTTTTTAACTGATTAAAGGAAGGTTAGGAATAGAATCGGTGGGCTCGAATAGACCACCACAAAGAAAATGACCTCTATAGTGCCCATACCGGCCACAAATGCCCACTTACGAATGACTACCATAGGTGTCACATCGTCGCGTTAGTGTCGAAGTCACTTTGAAAACGAACTCGGACAGTAGCATATAGTATTTCAAAAGGTTACAAATGGCTTGAAGGCGAGGAAAAATTTTGTACTGATATCAGAACCAGTGTATTGTCTTGATCTATACATATATCCATGTATTGTATACATGTATGAGCCATCACTTTATGTAAAAAAAATATGAACAAATAGTTTGAGTAAGACGAAAACATTAAAGATCGTGAATAGGAAAAAGGGGAATGAGGTCAATACAATTGTTATTATGTTGTTGTTTGTTATTTTTTAGTTGTTATTCCTATTTACAAAAACGTAAGATGGCACTGATAGAAAGAAAACTAGATGAGAGAAAGGTGAAACGAAGTGCGCGAATGGCGTGGTGGAGAACGCGCTACTCTCGTAAAGGGTAATAGAGCGTCCGTTTCCCACAGCAGACATCTTCCGTTCTGAGCTTTGCAAAAATCTCAAAAATATGAGGCTGAGAGTCCATCAAAAAGCTTTTCGCCTTTTTTCATCGGACATCGTTCGAGAATTCGTATGGTGATCCCCAAAGTAAAGTATCTGTATCAGCTGATCTATGCAGCTCCATGCCCATGTTAAAATTTCGTAAATAGGCATTCCGCTCTTCATTGTTTAAAAACATAAATTATAGTAGCCTTAAAATTGAACTGATATTTTACAAAAGCACTTCTATCTCTGCAGTAGCAGCGTGTGTGGCGCAGTGGTCGGAGGCTGGCTGCAACACACACGTGGGTCCGATCCCGCGCCCCAGCTCATCGAGCATTTCATCAACCCAGTATTGGCCAATTCCTACTAGACTTGTCTGGAAAGATAGCAGCACCAGTCCGATACAAGGGCCACCGGGAGTATAAGAGTCCGATGTGTATTGAGTCACTTCCAATGATGCACAATGAAGTCGAATGCATGGCACATCCCTCATGGATTGATCAACGCCGAGAGCTTTATCTTTTATCTCTAGAATGATAAAGAAAGCATTTGTACAATGAACGCTGCAAATACTCCATTTATCAAAAAATTGTCGATAACTATCGAAAGCTGGGATCGATTATTAGGCGCCAGCAACAACGTTTTCAAACTTAGCGCTACAGGAGCTATAGATATCGTCTATGAAATTTGTAAATATATAAGACGAAATAAAAGTTAAAAATCAAATAGAGTGTGACAAAAGGACAATGAAAGCGCGAACACCCACCGATGGTCGTCAACGTGCCGAATTCGAATAGAATAATATCGAGTATCGAGATCTTTTCTAGCTCGTCATCGATTAGTTGGAAGATCAAAGCCCCCACGAGAAGATGCGCGATCAACAGGCACACCAGACACAGTTGTGGAAGTGCGACGTAGAGGAACTGAATCTCTTCAAATTCGCTTTGAAAATCATCATGTTCACGTCTTCCAAAACAATTTCACTCAAGTCTAGAATTCTTTTCTTAAAAATCGAAATGAAGTCATAGGAAGATCTATGCTTAACACGGCTGAGAGAAAGGCGAAACTACAGACTCACATGGTGTTGTGGTGAACGCGTTAGCCCCAGGAGAAAATAATAATTCGGTTCCCACCGCAGACACGAACGGTCCGAAGTTTTGCAAATATCTCATCACCGTTAGTCGTTAGTCGATGGTTAGTCTCACGATGTATCGAAAAGACCCTCACCCATGACGGCTCCTATTGATGATTTTTTGCGAGTTTTTTCTTTCGTTCTCATAAATATTAGGAACCGGAATGGGAATAAAGCTATATGCAAGCAACGAGGAACAAATGAGGTGGGAAAGATTTATGGAAGTGACAATAGTCAGGAAAAATATAGTTGCATGAGAGCAGGAAATATTCAGATGATGGGTTTTGTTTAAAAATAGACGTCTCGACGGACATACCAGTCATCGTGTATGATTCATCACTCCTGGATGGAATGATATGACTGTCTTGTTGCCACCAAGGACCAAAGAAACAACTCAAGACTTCATAAGCACTTCAATCCTCCAGCCATTACTTGACGTACGTCTTGACTGTAGTACATTCTTGTCGACTTTGTTATCGATCTTCGCTCGCCTTCAAAACATTAAACCGATTTCTGGAACTGTTGCCTTTCGATATCGGCGTTGATACGGAATACCATGCCAACACCTCGATTTCCCCTAGGCTTGCATTGTCGACACCCTTCGTACACATTCCTCTCTGAGATGAGATGGATGAACAGCAGGAAGATAGAGAGAAACACGAAAAAGTAGAAGAATGAAATAAGAGAATACGATCACTATAGCGGATCGTTGAAGTAATGCTCGCGTTTTTCAGGAACAGTTGATCAAATTGTGGTCAGGGTCGAGCCGAATCGATGGTGGAAGAAATTTGCAGACTGGTTAGTTCGACAAGTCGTCTGCCCGAAGATGTTGCCCAGTTTTACACTCGACTTCAAGGACGTTTGAGTGTTCGATCGCTTTAATGGTGAAATATTTGAACTACAGGCCGTATTTTATCGTCATTAGATGAATCAAATCTTGACGAGAGCCTAAGCAGAATATAGTCTGCCACTCCTTGTAGGGAATTCTCACTGTTAATTTCTTAATTAATCTCCTTTCCTTTCCATTTAAACTCTAGCAAACGCATGTTAGCTCTGCTTCTATCCGATGATAGTGGGGGGTGGGGTGCGGCGTGATCAAACGGCTGGGGTCACAGTGTTTCCTTGTTGAAGTGTACCGACAGTTTTGTCGTACAGAGTGCAATTTGACGGCAAAGAACCAAAATCTTCGTGGATTTTCCATCCTCTTGTTTTCCGTTTTCTACTACATTTAGATCAATGTTAGAGCAGGTATACGGTCTTTGTCAAATTATACTATAGACTGAGAGATAAGCATCTCAAAACAAATATGTGTTGTGGAATGATTCTTACCTCCTCCCACAAACTCATCCTCCAAAAGTCTATTACCAGTTTGCCAAACGTTTACCAATCAAACAGTACAGGAGGAAACTAGTCAGGAGAAAAACATGATTTACAGGTTAAATTGGTTCCAAGTGCTGGAAAAATTTATCTTCGACATTACTCAACACTGTTTGAGCCAGGACGAGCCGTGTTAAAGGCCAAGCATCACTTGCTTCCGTTCCCTGTGCTTATAACAATGATATTATCCCGGGAAACTTCGCATATCACAAACGTTAACATCGCTTTATAAGGACGGTTTTCCACCAGATTTTTCGGAAGTGTTCGGCCTCCTTTTTGTCTACCTGACCGCCGTACTCGACACCTTGCCTTTAGGTTACATAGCCCTAGGGTTTAAAACCAGTTTATCTCTTCAGCGCTTTAACGGTACTACGCGATGTTGTTTTGCATGAAATGAAATTTTGGTAGGAATAACGACAATAATGGTAATAATTCTGAGAAAATTTTCCAAAAGCCTACTGAACAGTGTGAATGTCATTGAAAACACTGAAAAAGAAGAAGTTTAGCAGTTTGCATAGAAAGTAGAACTCTGACCACATTGGCGACTGAAGACATGTTCTTGGATATCCTGTGGCGATGACGACGAGACATCATGCGGTCGAGTCGTCGCGCGAGTCGTCGACAGCGAGGGCGTGCCACCGGTGCGCGACTCGCCGTCGACGACCGAACCGATGGTAGTGCAATCGATGTGGAATCGACGTCGAGAACGAGTCGCCTTGTCGCCTTCCGAGCGACGGAATCGACGTCAATGACGAATCACGTCGTCGCTCTCTGATCGTCTCACTCTCGATCGGCATCGACTGTTGATGTACACCCGACCGAACATGCAACATTCGTGACGACGTTTCCGATAGAAACTCCCAGACTTCAGCACATTCGCGATACATTGTGTTTGGCGGTCCTGCTTCTTGTACCGCCGCTCCAATTTTCGGCTGCTACGAATCTGATTGTTTTCTGATGACAGACGATAGTTTTCCGATACCCAGAGTACTTGAAAGGTTGTGAACATGACAGAATTCTAGAAGAGACTTTGATCTACTCATCGCTATACTCGTATCAATGTTGCTTCTGCTACTGCTTACTACGTGTAGCTACCATGCATCATGCAGATGCTCTATCAGCATCTGAAAAGCGTTTCGTAAATTATGCTGTTTTTATTTCTGCGTTTTTATCACCAGTGGGCTCTATCCGATGACCGATGTTCTATTCACTACGGTGATTGCAGTTGACCTCCTAGCGGCTTACCCCCTCATTGTGGCTGAGAGGTGTTTCCGGGTGTCGAGCTGCGATGACCAATGGGGGATTCATTCCCAGGGTCTCCCAAGCTGAAAAGGAGTCCGGCGTTTCCGTCAGGACGCCCACCTAAGAGTAAACCATTACCAGGATCTCCCTCGGATCCACGAAAGCGCGATTTCAAGTGGTGGTGAAGACCTGGAGAAGACTTTGGCTAGGCTGACCTCTAGACTCCAGGGAAACACAATGGCTAAACCAGAAAACACTGAAAAATGGAGATTACGCTGGGGCCCGTGCAAAGGGCGGTTTTTCAAAGCATCCAAGTGTGATTACAGTTGAACTGAGATCCAACTGCCTATCAAATTATTGGTCAATAGGCTCGTTTGAGAAAAAGTTTTTTGAGTACTTCCAAGTGCAGAGTGCAACTTTGCCATGGCCAACATCCGTGGGAAAGTCTGCGTTGGATTAGTTATCGATTCATTACAAGGCTTGGAGGGCAAGGATTCTGTGTCCCAAAATAAAATGTAAGAAGGAACGTAACCTCTATAGTGTTCATACCGGCTACAGTGCACTTTTTCAGCTTAGTATATAGTTATTGGAAAACTGTATTTTAATGGTGCAGCTACATGGTGAATACTATGGATCAGCTTGTACCACCCAAGTTTTAGATGGTTTTATCGATCTGCCAATAATAAGCATTGTCTCATGTTGTAGTTAAGCTGCAGCGATGATTTCAGTGAACATTCCAAACCGTCGAAACTGTGCTTTAACACTTACTTCCCAGCAGGCGCTCGATTGTTCAGTGGTCGGTGCGCTTCGCTCAAAATATGAGCTTCTGCGACATCACTTTCACACGGTCGCGGAAACCATTGCTCATCGCAGAGCCCAGAATTTCTTTCATAGATTTTTTTCTTATCACTTTTAGTATGGGAATCCATCAACGCTTCCTACAATCATGAGAACATGATATTTCAAAAAACCCTCCTTGATTTCCATCTTGAAAATTTTATAGCGTGGAAATAATGAAATTAATCACGATATTTTCTTATGGACTTGTTGAAACTCAAACGGAGGCGAAGATACAATCGAGACAGTTTTCAATTTCTAGAGATAGCTAATGTCTGAAGAAGCAGTCATTTTCAAACTGAAACTTCTGCCTTTGCTTTCCTTGGGGATTCCATGTGCCATATTTCCTTCAAGCAGTCAATAGACTAAACGCAAGATTTCATGCCAACGGAGGAGTCGGGTCTTCTGGGAAGAATCCGAGTTACAGAACAGCAAACCTTTTTTTGATTCACAATATCCTGTAACTGTGTGCTGTAGGGATGAGAAAGAGTAAGCACGGCTACTTTAGGGTTCAAAAAAAGGCGGCGTCAACTAGCACTCAACGCGCTATCGAAGCGGGCGGAATTCTCAAGGCCTCAGCAGAAGTCACATTAGAACTCGACTATTTCAGTATTAGAACAAGCGAGACATGCTTAAACAGGCCACTTAAGTATTGTGAATAAGTGACATTCTAAAACAATCGTCTTACAAAGATCAGATTCAATCTAGGGTTGATAAAGATGTTTATTCGGCTAACGTTTCGACGCTTTGGTCTTCCTCCGAGTCGGTGATTCGAGTCGAAGGTCCACAGACGTTCGCCTTCTCGATGTACTATCTTCGTCTTTATAATCGGGTCGAATCTTCATCAGTGGAGAACCGCTCTAATCAGAAGACCCCACCCTGCATCACTCCTTTATACAGGATGGTTGCTGTTGACGATGATTAGTGAAAGCGGTGCACCACTGAAAAGGATTCGGCTCTATGCGAAGACGAAGGGGCCACATAGAGAAGAAGAACGACTGTGGTCTATTGACTTGGGTTATCGGCTCTGAGGAAGACGGAGATGTCGAAAGTCAGCTGAATAAACTTCTTTATCACTCTTGGGTCAGCTTAGTAATTCAAGATGGTAATGATTATTAATGCAGAGGTTAAATGACGGTTAGTTTAAGAAACATTGGTTTAGATCTAAGGGTTTCAAAAGCTTCATAAGGTAGCTGGGTACTGTGCTTAGCAGAGTAGGAAGGTATAATAATTCTTTATTGTAGTTTTTGTCTCTTGACAACAAGTATGTTTTCGGTGAATTGCAGCAGCAAAACTACAACAGTTGATAGAAGGCCGTAGACGACCAATGACGCGTTGCGCACCACCAGACCGGCTACCAGGGAAAGCATCACTCGCGAGACGTCGAAAATCACCGACATCCGACTGAAACCCGTTGCTTCTTGAAGTCCAATAAATAAGTCACGTTTAAATGTTTTTATTTCGACCTACGATTCAAAGACTGTTGTTTGATAAAAGACTCGATTGATCTAATCATAGCCAATTAGTGTATCTACAGGAGGGAAATTCCATACCTGTGGTCGAAGTAGAAGCCAAACATCTGGAGAAAACCCAAGAGGAACACTAGGTGGCAAGCGAACTCTGGCCAGGTGAGCATTTGGCGGTGTGCATCGAAATGCAGACTGTACGAAATGAGAATGAGCCACTGTATGAACAGATAGTGGCGAAGAGGTGCCGTTAGTGGTGGATTATATGGCATGACGGGATATTCCACCTAGAGCAATACTGATATTGTAATTTATAATATAATAATATTGTAATACTGAAAGAAAACAATTTATTCTGCACAAAATGTTGCGGCAGGGTTCGTTTGCTGGGAAAGATCTCTTCCAGTGAAGATTTGTGCTTAGTTCGAAATCACATCGAATCGCATAATGTTTCACCCTCACACGACTCGAAGACGCATTTTTGGTGGAAAAGTGGAGAACGCGAAGTGCGTTGTCTTAGAATTTTTCCTTTCTCATTTAGCTGTGGGTCATGAGACGTTACCGGAGCACGCTTTGTATTTCATTACACATTTTACAACTATTAAAAAACACTAAAATAAACTGTTAGGTCCACAGGTTTACCTCCTAAAGGTTTACAGCCTCATTGTGGTTGAGAGGTGTTCATGGGTGCCAGGCTGCAATGTACAACGGGGAAATTCATCCCCACTTGCAGGATCTCTCATGCTACGAAAGAGTCTCGCGGTTCCATCAAGAAGTCCAGCTAAGAGTGAACAAATACCAGGCTCCACCACCACCGTGGTATCAAACTAGTCGCATGGTGGCAAATCTTCCTTCAATCTACAAGGGTGGCAACTGCCTGTGGTGGTGACGATCCAGATCGGACTTTGGCTAGGCAGGCCTCGGGACTCCAAGGAATTCCAGCGGCTTAACTAGCAAATCTCCGGAGAACGGAAATTATGCTGGGGTCCGCACAACCACTGAAGACGGGCCATCCAAGTATCCCAAGGAGGTCTGTAAAAACAAAGTAGATATTGAAAACTTCTCCTTGTTGCTTGTTACGCTTATTTGAACATGTAAAGAAATCGATAATATGGAGCGTAAGGATAAAATCGAAGGATTAGGCAGTGCACGTGTTAAGTGCCGTTAGGAATCGATGACAAGCTGAAAACGTGTAAATGCTGAACATTATTTGACCAATTTCACAATTTACAATCTCGTAGACAAACATTAACACCAAAGATTTCCTTTACAGTAATTGCAGGCTGAAACTACGCTTTTGCAAAAACTGAAAAAATACTGAAATAAATGAAGACCATTGACTAGCCATTGATAGCGTTGCTCGCTCTTCATTATTGGTCATATGGAAACCATCAATGAGAGCGGTGATGACGACTGGCGAACCAGTCGTAGGCAACAAGCTCTGTGTCCTACTTGACAGTACTGTATCACAAGGAAAAAATACAAATACACCTCAGGTATTCCTTCAGTGCTGTCTTTCATACAGAGCCACAGAAAGAAGTTTTTCGTTTGCATGCCAGGAAAATACCCCGGAGGCCATAATGCGGCTTTCACCTGAAATTCTATTTCTTGGTGTGATTGAATTTTAGATGCCCCTTTTTAAGGCAATGTCGCATTAAGGAATTTTCATTTATGAATCATGCGCATTTGTATTTTCTAGAATTTTTCTTATACAACTGTCTTCACATCATATATTGTGAGGATCCCTGCGCTTTTTTGCAGTCGATTCGTTCCCACGCATCGATCATCCATGAAGGTCCCTGAAATTTCGCGTATGGGTTTCGCTACTGTTTAAGGGCTTTCGTTGTCTTCATGAATATCGTCGAATGCTAGTCGATTCCTAGAGAATTACCATCTGGACTGGAGAGAATGTGCTGATACCATTCTAGTCTCCCCAAACCCGGTGTCATGGGAAGCTAGGTGAGCTCAGAGCGTGTTGAACTAGCATCTTGCTCGTAGTGAGCGGTATCACTACCACTGCGTTCCTCGCGCCTTATGTATTTGCTTATATGTTCGCTATATACATATCAAAGTAAGCTTGAATGTGTACGTACACATAAATATATAAAAGTTATAAAGCAAACTCGTCCTGTTAAACAACCGTCGAGTGGACGGTAGACTGGTGGTCAGATAGAAGGGTTTGGTTTCGCTGTAGGAGTTGCAGTCGTAGTGCGAAAGTTTAAGCCGGAAGCTAAAAAATCATTATGCTACCCAGAATGGCCGACGGCTTCCCACACAGAAGACCTGCCAAGGCCGCAGCATGCTCACCGTGGTATTCCTGATGAAATCACATTCGCCGAATATTTCTTATCCAAATGAGGAAAGAAGGTGAAAGATTTCAACGCCATAGGTGAACCAGCTGCTAAAACTACCGTTTTCATGGATGCTGCTAGCAAGAAAACGAAATGAATGGGGAGGTGCTGGGATCAAGACAACATGGGTTCCAAGAGTATTCTAGGTAAGTAGGTAATTTCAAGGCACAAAATGTGCTCCTTTTATCCTATTCCAGTCTAGATATCTACTACCTGGGGTTAAAATGCGATTTTATAAACTGTTTCCAACAGCAGTAAACTCCACATTAACTTTATGAGGAAAAAAGTAAATAGTGTGTTTTTACGGAGACGCTGGTATGTGCCCACACTGTCCTTTACTAAAGCTTACATTTTCCGGAGATCTTCCGGAGACAGGGAAAGAGAGGGAGAGTTTCGCAGTTGTTTTTCCCACTTCCCCACTTGTCAAGTTCATCAAGAATTATGAGGCTACAGGACACTTCCCTTTCCTAAATCACCCTAATTGATCTCTGGCTTCTAACCATACCACCGGACATTTTTTTTTGCAGTTTCACCATGTCATAACCACTTTTTGAAAAGAAATACAGTAAATTTTTGCGTGTTGTTCCCATTAATAACTTAACTTATTGCAGAATCCTGGAAAAACCTCCTCGTTCTTCTCGTTTTTGGTTTGTCCCTTGTCATAGCCGAGAGCTTTAAACTCGAAAAACTGAATTGTCATTATAACCATTATCATAGGTAGTTAAAATTACTATTGCTGTAATTATAGTTATAATAATAAGGTGATCCTAGCCTGACACCAAATTTGACTGAATGAGGCGACTGGGGTAACCAATCCGTAGGCGATCTCCTCATCTCTTCGTTCAGGTTCGTATGTGCCAAAAAGCCTGAAAATTGCTCCGTCTTGATGAAAATTTCGAAAAAATTGCTCAAAATAACATATGGCAGGTTCAAAAAACTGACTTTCTGTAAACCTCGGCATAAATAGTTGATTTATTTATTTATAAGTTTTTATGAACTGATCTTATTGAGTCGATCCGAGGTTGATATTAGTTGTCGTTGTTGTTGTTGTTGGTGTTGTTGGTCGATAGCTGACGTATCGGCGATTTCGCCATCCTCACAGCCGTACTGTCACGAGTGGGGCTATTAGGAGTACTCAACAACATCTTTTCATAAGAACTTGTAAATAAATATATGACAGATTATTTAAAATACTGAAATGCTGGGTTTTCCTGGTGATTACGCCATGAAGTGCGAATCTCGTCAATTCCAACAAACACCAGGAATTTCCAAGGTTCATTTTCTCATATAGTTAGATGTTAAGCTCTGAGTAGTCTTGGTTATTTACAAAGTTTAGGTCATTACAAAAACAGTATAGAGTAGAAAAAACTTTCTTGATTGAACAAAGAGATAAAGGAACCCATGTGAAGTTTTCAAAATGTTTTTCCAATTTTTGAAGAACACTTTACATTTATAGTGAAGTTGACAAGAAAAACTCCATGAGAGTAACTAAAGTTATTGCCTTAGTTTGCATTTATCGATAAATTTAAAAATGTATCAAAGGCAAATTTCTAGAGCAACAAAATGAGTAGTTTTTATTCGTATTTTTGTTGAGCAAACGCGAGGTGTTACTATTCTTTGTTCACGATTAAGCTGACGTTTCGGCGGATTTCGCCTTCCTCAGAGCCTGGAAAGGTCAAGTTGAAAGCAATCCACTCGGCCAGACGCCTCCATAACCAAACAAAGAAACTCCAAACCAAGGGTTGTTGTTGTTGAAGCAAAGGAGAAGAAGTGGTTTGCTAAGGATGAAATGCGTTACCTCATTGACGTCCTGATTAGCACTACTCGCACAATACTCTGCTGTTTAGGTTGTCAACCTACCATTCGAAGAGGGCATGACTCAGCTTTGAGTCGCAGACTTATTCAGAGAGGAATAGTAGTTTTTACTTTTGTTTGCTGTCTATTCTTCTTTCATAACAGCGTATTATGTAAAATACAACCACAAGGACACTGAGATACAAGCAAAATTCGGAACTCGTAAGGCTGACGAGAATGGTCTTGGCAGCACAAATCGGGATTGAACCCGTTTGAAAATGGCTGAGACAAAGACAAAGCTAGGGTCTCGGTGGTGCGGTGGACAACACGTGAGCCTTGGAAAGGGTAATCACAGGAAAATGGGCAGTGTAAAAAAAAAGCAGCACAGTATAAGAAAAATCGAATAACGAATGAAGCTATGTAAATAAAAAAATAAATGCGACGAAAGACAATAATACATAAAACGTGAGGAAAACATCTACAACAACGGTTTTTCAATGTTAATCATATTACCCTCATGGAATTTTCAATTTCATAAAACAATTTCAAATTTTCTCTAGATTTACCTTATGAAATTGTCTCTAATTGTAATGAAATACATACTTATCGATTAGGTTTCGGTTATACACTTTTGTTCGATTAATGCGTATAAACTGCACTGGAAAGGAGTGCAACTCGATTTATCTCACTACTTTAAATGTGGCCTTGGTGATAAACTTTGCGCATTTTTCTGCAAGAGGTTGTAACGATCTAGACCAATCAGATAGCAAAAATCTGATAGAGCAAAATTTAACTTCACCTATCCCAGATAATTAAAGTGCCTCCATAGTTTTTGTCAATGCAGTACGGATTGCGACCGTGGTGCACACGGTGACTGGACGGTGTGTTGAGGAAGTACTCAAGAGGACCGAGATATGGAACCGCCTGTACGAATGAACTTTACAGAATCGCATTCATAATGTTTGGTTTGTATTATTATTGCCATTGTCTTTTCATTGTCAACAACAATATTATGAAAAACACAGGAATTCGATTATAAGAATGAAAAATGGAGAAACGAGAAACATATGGACGAAGAGAACTGTAGAGTGGACTCCATGAGGAGGTAGGTTCCCATTAGGACCTCTATACGTTGAGCGGATGTGTTTGTAACTGAAATTAAACAGCCATACTCACAGTTGAAGTTGCTTTCCAGATTCCTGTATGAAATTACTAGCAACCGCCATTATGCTTGAATTAAATCCACACCATGGAGGGACGATAGTGAAGCAAAGAAACGAGTGGAAATTGTGCTGGAGTCCGCACAACTCGTGAAGACGGGCCGTCAAGTTTCCAAGTGAGAAATAAGTATAGGAATCCATGTCATCTAGACGAATTATCACCACAATCCTAAACGCCGTCTACTATCGAGCGCGAAATGAGGTTCCTTCGATTCAACTTAAATACTTGAACGGCCCTTCTTCAATAGTTGTGCGGGCGGGAGCACAGTTTCCGTTGTTTTTTCTTTTCGGAGGCTTGCCGGTTGAGCTGTTGTGGTTCCCTGTGATCCCGAGGTCAGTCTGGCTAACGTCTGCCCCTCTTTGAATCAATAGTGAAACCAATTCTTCATTTGTATTCGCAAAACGGGTGCACCTGCAGCGTATTGGGTAGAGATGCCGTAAAATGCACATGTGGTCCTTGGCTCCGATGCCCCGACTCCTCAAATATTCCATCACTTCGAAGTCGGTAAATCTATGCTAGACTTACCAGAGAGAATAGCGGCACTGAGTCGGTGTAGTCGATATATGGGTGGGCCATCGTGAGTCTTTGTATAGACCATATTTGCATCCCATCTCCTCTACAATGTCTAATGAAGTCGGATGAGTGGCGTATCCCTCAAGGAATGACTATCGCCAAATAACTCGAAAGAACGGACTTTCTATAAACCTCGGCATAGATAGTTGATATATTTATTTATGTGATCTTATAAACTGATCTTCTTAAGCTGACACGAGGTTGCGGTCCCGCACGTAACATCACGGCTCTGAGGAAGGCGAAGTCGCCGAAACGTCAACCATCGATCAATAACATCAAAAACAACGACAACGACAACGAAGATCTGTACCAACCTCGCGTCAGCTTAAGAAGATCAGTTTATAAGATCACATAAATAAATATATCTCCAAATACTTTGTCCTTTTCCTTTAGCCATAAAAAGGACCTAACATTGGACCATTTTAGTGTCAGGGATATCGCGCAGGTTAGCCTCAAAACAAAACAACAACATTGGTAAGGCTACTTCGGCAATGAATCGGAGATTAAACGCAGAAAACAAGGACGGATACCGCGCTAAAATGGCACTGAAGAACAAAAACAATGGCACCGACATTTTCAACATAGACGTACAAGTGCGCATGGGTTTGCTTGTGTGCATGCAGTCTGTCTTCAGAATATCATTGGGCCAAAGTCAAGCCAACAGGAAATCCATGGAGAACCATTTGAGATCTCATCTCAAATAAATATAACCTGCATATGCTTAGCCATCTGCAAATGTACTCATCGTTTAAAGAAGAGCCTGGCATGTTGCAAGTAAGCCCTCCTTTAAAAAAACAGCTCATTTGAGAATCCCATACAAAAAGGGCCGAAACTATGCTTACCATGCAATAAATAAAACATCTGCAACATCTTGTGTCCACCAAGCGAATACAACCAAACAAGTAGCTTTCGATGAAATATGGATACATAAAAAGCAGTTCCGAAGAAAAACTGCAGTTGAGAAAACTGCTCACAATTTCCCTCACAAAAATATTGATCACTAGGTTTCCACGACGTTATCGTTTATTATTAGCCAAACGTGAGGCCGATCTAATACTACAAGCTATTCGTTTTCCTTTTTCATCTGCTCCAGTTGTATTCGTACATTTAACAATGAATTTGTGAGATTATTATGATTTTCATATCCGCTTAACATATTTAAAACACACCAACACCGTGTCCAGGGTCATCGAAATTTGTCGGGAATACCACTTGCCACTAGTCCTAACCTTTGTCGACTATGAAAAAGCGTTTGAGAGTGTCGAAACGAATGCAATCCTATCAGCGCTCGTCGACCAAGTAGCGGACCCGTCCTACGTAAGAACTTTGTTCGACTGTTATAGGAACTGTACTACGAAACATACGTATTGATGGAATATTGCTGTCAAGCTTTCATTTTGCCGACGACGTCGTCATCTCATCAAGAAGTACCAGCGAAGCAGAGACGATGACCAATGAGTTCAACGAAGCGGGAAAAAAGATCGGACTTCGCAAAAATCGAAAGAAGACCCAGTTCATGAAAAACCCAAAAACCCATGGTGCGAACTGGTAAAAATTGAACTGGATGGCACTCTGATTGCAGAGACCACCCCGTACGTATACCTTGGGCGACCAGTGAAAATGAAAAAAAACATGAAGGAGAAGCTAGACAGAACAAGTACAGCAGCTTGAGCCGCATTCCGGCCTCTCAAAGACGCTACCGACCAACTGAAGGGCCTTAAAATCTGCGCTCATCTTTCGATTTCTACGGTCCTCCCGGCGCTCTGTTATGCTGTAGAGATGTGGGTTGATACTTCAACCACGTCAAGAATACTTCGCTCTGCCCACAGAGTGCTTGATCGGTGTCTTCTGAATATAATGGGCACTCTCAATATCTAGCTGGAATGCGAAGCTCTGATCTTCGAAGTCTGTCACATCTGCGAGATACAGATGCGAATACAAATCGATAGCGAAACATAGATGGCCGGTCACATAATGAGAAGAACAGACGACAGGTGGACGAAAAAACTGTAAAGTGGAGTCCACGAGAATGTAGACGTCCCCTAGGGCGACCACCTACACGCTGGGAGGACGTGTTCGCAAACCAAGTTAATCAGCTGTACCCGTAGCTGTAGCTATTTTTACAGATCACGGTATGAGACTCACACGAGCCACCATGCTCGAATAAAACCACCGCCAAGGACGACGATTTCGAGGGAAAGAAACGAATAGCAAATGTGCTGGGGTCCGCACAACTCGTGAAGACGGACCATCCAAGTGAGTAGGTAAGTACGTAAGTATTTTTAAAAGAAATAAAAAGCCTTTTGAACAACAACAATAAAAGTAGTATAAAAATTAATCAGGTGAAAAAAGTGTCGAGAAGTCGTGATATAAAAAGAAACTTCATTACCAATCATTTTACAGCACATTTAAGAACGTTTGCACTCACGTTGGAGTGTAGCCAAAATTGATAGAGAAGGTTGAGGTAGCGATGAACGATGAAAATATTCGGCGGAATCACAAGAGCTTGCAACAGATCGAAGAGCACCATCACGAAATCCTAAACACCGCGATATTGATGGAATTGGTGCCGAACACCATGCGGAAAGCCATGACTGCGAAAGACTATTCACACGCATCAGACTCATTTCAACGGAACTATCAAGTGGATTTTTAGGAGCAAATTAGTTTTTCACGGAACACAACGTAAAAATGCTGCAACAACATGGTTTCAATCACGCTATGTAATTTTTGAGGCGAATGTGTGCTTACTACTGACTCTGTTTCTCAACATAACGCTCTCCATTGCAAAGTTTTTTTTTAAATTTTTATTACTATGTGTACCTTTTTGCTGTATGAATAAGTGAAAAAGACATGGTTTTGCTGTCGCTGTACAAGTTTAGCACTGTGGTGGTGGTTACATACCGCACCGAGTGAGTTAAACTCTCGATCTCTTCGGCGTCGGGAAATTTTTACCACACTTCTGTGGACTCAATTACTTTCCTCTAATCCACAAAACCCGGCGATCGCCTGAGCTAGAGATCTGGAAATAACTAACCACGGTAATCCAGCGATACTGAGGGGAGTCAGTATTCTATTCGTCGGGAAACTACAGAGAGTTATTGAAAGACAAGTGTCATTGACTGTATGGCTCATATAGAGTTCGATTTTTAACCAAAGATTCGTTATTATTTGTCTTGCAATAGCTGCGACGAATCGCGACCACTGTGAAATGGCTGCAGAAAGAACGCCGATGTGGAATGAATACAAGTTGCAAAACACTTTCAAATGCTGACTGCAATGTAGATGTACGACGTGTCACAGTAACACATAGCAAATACTAGCATTCATATAACACATGCCACTAAGCAAAGCTAAGTCTTCTCCATCACTCTGTGATGTTTCCAACCGTTCAAATTCCCTAGCTATCAAAAAAATTATCGTCTCTTATGAAAAAACCAGCATCGTTCACTATGCGCTTACAAATGGTGGACGAGTTGTACCATTCAGTACCGACTTGAACGCAAACGGAAGCCACATAAAATGGGACGTGAGAGTTATATGTTAACTTACTAGAGAGCAAAACTTATGCCTGAAAAATCACTTTGTGTTTTCTACACTTTTTCCTGCATGATAAAGATTTAATTTTAGGAGAATAATGAAAACACTAATGAGATAAGAATTCACCTGGACTACTCCTTGTCGCAGTGCTGTGCTGAGATTGTAATACTCAGATGAATGGTGCATTTGGTGAAAGGACCAAAGCACTCCGGCCTCTTAACATTGTTTTTCATTTAGAATGACTCCCGCTTGTTGTTTAAAGTCTACTTTGTATAATGATGATAAATAGAAAAGATGTGCAATTCCAGAATAAAAGCCATTAGAAAAGCAAGAACAGAGCTGGAAGTTCGTCGTCTTCTCTCTCAGCAAACGCGAGGTTGTTAAATAGCATGCTTTTACTACCACACAATAACCCACATACAACACAACCGTTGCTAACGTTTCGGCAGTATAGCCTTCTTCAGATCCGTTCTTGACGTGCCTTCCATTGAGGAAGGGCCGCTGGTCAGAGTCGCATATAGCTGTCGCCAAGAGAGAAAACGTTGTTGAGAAGAGAAAAGAGACTCCTGGCAGAGAAAACGACGAATTTATAATCCAATGCCGACGTTAATAGGAAGTCGATGCTGAGAGCTGGAAATTCCAAAACAACTACTGGTTAATAGTTTAAAACGTGGAACGTCAAGGAAACAGAACTGCAACAGAAAAAGGCTTCCACAGTAACGAATTACTTCGCTTTAACTCAATGATTTGGCATTTCTCGTCGTGAAGAAAAATGCGAACGAAATGGTAAATCATTTGTTCACCCGGCAGTAGAAATGACATGAGGTCCAGGCAGAACACAAAGGAAGTCGTATAAGAAAATACAAAAAAAACTTCATGTTGAAATGTTAACGCTGATCACTGGTAATTTCAGAGGATGAAAACGATTTTGATGAACACAACGACAATGATGCTGAGATATTTGCAAAATTCCGCACCGCAGGTGTCTTCTTTGGGGATCGAACACGCTATTACCCTTTGCAGTGGCTAACACCATCACCATCTCACTATGCCGGACCTTCGTTTCGCTCCTCTCTGAGCAAATTTTCTATATTACAGTTCCATCAGCAATCACCCGTCAACGGGATTGATCTGAGAAGCAGAATTCGGCATTGAACCCAGATAGGCTGAGGCTGTAGTCGAAAACATAATGCTAACTTTTATTTACTGCCTACTACGATTTTTCACGGTAGGATATTATGTCTGATACAGGCACAATAATGCTTATATGTTGGTCCAATAATAGGGTACAATGGCGATTTGTGCTCCCCGGATAAATCCCATTGATGGCTGGCTGATGATAGCACCTATAAGTTAGACACGACAGAGTGAAAGTCGAAACGAAAGACACACATGGTGTGGTGGTGAACGCGTTTTTCCCCGAAAAGGGTAATAGCGCGTTCGATCTTCACCCCAGACACCTGCCGTCCGGAGTTTTGCAAATATCTCAGTGTCATTATGGTTGTATCACACATAATACCTTGCCGTGAAAAATTGTAGTAGTCAATAAATAAAAAGGTAACATTTTCGTAGATTCTTGTGATTCGTAAATCGCCCAGAGTAGTGGAGAGGATTACAAAAACTGTGTGAAAAATTACCATGCACAGCTCGATGTCCCAGATAGTAGACTAAATCCTGAGTGAAGAAACACAGTATCCAGGTCGTAGCGGAGTCTTTCGGTAATTCTATGATGTGAATCCGCTCGTAGACGGAGGAGTACACAGCTGCAGACAGGAACCTTCCTCCAAACCTGAAACATCCGGCAATTCGAGCTAAATGCGCTACAGTAGTATAGAAAAATGTTGGCTTTATTATACTATTAAGTTGCAACATTTTTTGGTGTTGCAATACGGGCTGCACTTAAGGTAGTGTAAGTGATGCCATTCAATAAGAGCAATGCCTTGGTTCCTGCTCTGGGCGAACGAAGTCTTCTGTCACTTCAGTGACAAAAAATTGCTACCAAGCTTGTCTGAAGCTCCCTTTGATTCGTAAAGGATGCCATCTGTCTTCAGTGAAGAACTAGAAAAGATCTAGCTCTGCTAACCTAGAAAGAACCTACTTGACTCTAGCGCTATGAGACGCTCATGACTAAAAATCGTGAAGCCAAATGACACCCCATGTCTTTCGTGGACGATAGGAACGGGGACACAAATCGATTGTTATAAATGACCCACGTAGCATGTCATGTTGGACCATATAAAAAGAAATATTGTCATTTAGGATATTTTATTCTGTTGCTAACAATTTGCTTTTCATTACAAGTCAAAAGTAAGAGCAATGATGTAGAGCACAGAGGTTTTTGGCAAAATTTTTAGTTTAATCCCAAATGCGTAATAATGAACTAATCAAAAGCTTGGTATGTCGTATCATACCTGAATTTTCTCTCATCAGTAGATAACCAAACAGGAAGTAGAAATGGAACCTATTCATTTCGTTCTCAAACCTGGCTGTAGCCATATTCCATGGTGTTACATAATGACTTTGTTCTTTTCTTCTAATCTAAAGCTCACCTGATTTGCTGGCCCCAATCGACACATATTCACTTCGGAATGCGTTATTTGGAGCCATTTTTTTGACCAAATCATTTCTCAAGTCTGATTTTCACTCACTTCAAAACCAATGAGAAGATTCCGGCGTTTATTGAAGTGACAGTGTCATTGAATGAGTATTTCTTGTCGTCCAAAAGCAGGTATTCGAGCACGACAAGAACCAACATCCATGTCGTGGCCTGGAGTTTCAACGAAAATCACGAGTGTGCTCACCGTTCTGCACAAGACTGCTGACCGCTTCTTTCTTTTGCATTTATTTCGTAGGTAAAAGGTATAGTTCGAACGTAAGCAAAAATCGTTGGATCAACCAGAACAGTGAAAATAAGCCACTCCTTTTGTCACTGTTTTGCGGCTGCGTTCATATTCTTTTGGTGTCTTTCAGTGATTATGGCGACAATAATTTAAGATTTACGGTTTTGATTCTTTACTTAAAGTGAGGACGTAATATTTAAAGGTGCGATTAGGCATATTTTGCAAAACGCGCTCGGTAACTAATCTGTTAAGGGGCCACGAATTAGAAAATTTCTTATAATGCATGGAAACTGACCCTGATTTAGAATTTTGACTGACTCATCGCTCATTTATGAAGAAGCCATATATGGGTTAGGTGTTCAATCGTTTTGATTAATTGTCCATAACATTTACATCCAGTTTGAGCAATTCTACTCATATTTCAATCTCACATGCTTCCATGTGTTTTTTTGGCGCGTGACATTCAAACAATCCATGGATCTCCAACGTTAAGGAATCTTCGGCCAGTCCTGACATAGTGCGGGATGGGTTCCTAGGTGGTTCAAAGGAGGACAAACGTGAACTGGAGGAGAAGTATCATTTGCTTTAAGACACGAGTGGATTAATAAAATCGCATCTGCCATAATGAAATGTACTGGTGTATGTACGTAGACGTACTCATTCAGCATATGCTTGGGTACACCTATACCGCACATTCACCCTCTCGTTCAGCTAATGGCTTGCAATTAAGTGACTGTGAAAAACATAAGAGATGACTACGACTGACATCCAACAATTGAACTCCTCGTCTACAAGCATTAAGCCAGTAACTTAGCCGTGAGTATACCCCAACTCCACGTCAGAACTCAGCATATCTTCTGTAGCTCACAAATAACAATGAGAAATGAAGGCGCCCTCCTACAGAAATTCAGACCCATTCTGTAAATCTAGAAGGACGTTCTTCTGAAATCAAACGTAAACAGAATCTGAGACATCTAATGAAGAGCTGGTGGTACCGGCTATGTATAGCGTCACGGGATGGGTCATCCGAGAAGACACCGTCGGCTAAAGTTGCAGATGCTATACTAAAGAGGACATGCCGCTGGTCCGCCCATCAACACGAGTTTGTCCATGAACACCGAAACAGTAATCGGGATTAGACGCCTACTGTTTAAAAAAATGTGTATCAACCCTGATTTAGAACTTTTGTCCAAGCTGAAACATCAGCTAGGACTAAACATTCTGCCAACGTTCAAGAAAGCTCTACAAGGATTTTAAATTCTAGATGATCTAGAGCCATGACTGATGACTTCAACACCAAGATCTGCTCCAAAAGACGTCCAAGAAGCCTCAAATTGGCCTTCACGGATTGTAATGAAACAATAAGAAAAAAAATTCTCCGAGTTTGTAGCGAACAAGACAAAAAGACCAGCAAAGGGAAACCGCGGATGATCTCCTTTCAACGTCGGGCGCGAAGATCGCCCCAATGGAGAGTGCCACGAGTGGATCGGTAACAACATCTTCAGTCGAATACCTTGCGTAGTCGACATCAGTGCTCTCTCAAAGCTCTTTAGCGATCAGTCGTTTGCCCACTGTTGCTTCGTTATTCGAGATAATCAAAAAAGCAGCAGAACATTAAGAAACGAATTCACGTAACAACTTTAAATTGAAATCTACTCGCTCCTTTAGCCAGGTTTCGAGAAGATACCGCTATGAGAAGCATTGACGAAGAAATACAAAAGGAAAAAAACGGTATACTTAACCTTTTTATTTACTGCCTACTCCTTTTTAATGGCGGGGTATATTGCGAAATATAACTTCAATGATGCTGAGATATTTGCAAAACTCCGGACCGCAGGTGTATGCGGTGGGGAACGAACGCGCTATTGTCCTTTCCGGGGAGTAACGCTTTCACCACCACACCATGCGCGTCATTCGTTTCGCCTGTCTCTCAGCTAGTTCTATCGATCTTTTGCCATCATCAATCACCCGTTAACGGGATTGATCTGGGGAGCCCAAATCGGTATTGAACCCAGTTATGCTGAGGCTATAGTTATAATCACAGTGTTAACCTTTTTATATACTGCCTACTCTTTTTTAATGTTATTTGCTTACAATCTATTAAGCTGAACGATCCAAACAAATACCGTGAATTATTTATGCGAACGTGAAGTTAAAGTCGGTTTAGTTAATTCTTACTTCGTTCCGTGTTGGTTACTCTACAACAGACTGCTACGGGATGAATTGTCGGCACGAAAAGATGTCATTGTCAGCTGGTAATCAGTTAACAACCGTCCAGTATGAAACAGCATAGCCGAATGAGGCTGCCTCATTCGAACGGTGCTCCACTGAAAAAGATTCGATTTGCTACCACGATGAAGACGCCACAACGAGAAGGCGAACACTATGGGCCATCGACCCGGATGATCGGCGCTGAGGAAGACAAAGACGTTGAAACCTTAGCCGGACAAAAGTTCTATAACAACCTCGTAAAAACTGAACACTTTAAACAAAGTGTTCCAGATGTTGGGACGCATGTAGTGCATTAGTTCGAGGCGCTCTGAAATAGAGGCTCTCCGCTTCGATTCCGCGCCTTGGACAAACCAAGCTCCCTCCTTCTCTCCGGCATCATCAAAAGGTACAAGAAAAAATGCAAATACTGATTAAATAAATTGGGAGACCATTGCAAGTTATTGTATAGTTTAACTATGACTTCAAAGTCGAAAGGACGGTGAATCCTTAAGATATTCACCTACTCTGAAACTTCTACCTTTATCGTTTAATGTTGGAAGTCAGAAATGGGAAAATCGTTACCGGCACTCGCTTGACACTTCTCACTCTTCCTTTCACTTGGTGCAGTCATTTTGCTCAGAAGGCAATGGAGAACACAATCCAGTAGTGCCAGTTCGACTTCCTCAGCAGCCAGATGTTGGAATCCATGCGTAGTCACCAGTATCTCGTCACTTGTCGTTTCTTTGACCATCGAGTGACTCGAGCAGACACCAATAAATCTTCGAGTTCTCCATATCGCGGCAAGAGTAGACCAGTAGGTCTTGCTCGCTCTAGGGTCTTGTCGAGCATGATATCTTTTTTTAGGCTGTTCATAAAAACTCTGACCATCGGGTCGGTGGTCTTCCTGCAGTACGTTCGACATCCCGAGGAATCTAGCCACTAACGGCTGTGGTCCATATGTTTTCGCTCATGCACACTACGTGTCCAGCTCACCTTTTCTTCGACAGTCTAACGTGTAGAATGGCGTTTTTGACCTTTGATCGTCGACGCAGGTCGGAGTTTCGATTCCCTTCCCACACTTGCATGACAATAGGTACTTCTAGCATCTTCCTTTCGACTGCGCATTCAATAACGCTGAGTGATTTCTCATCCTGTTTACGCAGCAACCAGGTTTCTGACGTATACGTTAAGACAGGAAGAATCGTGGAATCGAAAACGTGGGTATGGAGTCGGGCGTTCCTTGTTCTCCCCATCCAATATGAATTGTGATTTTGTTCGTATTTTTGTTGAGCAAACGCGAGGTGTTACTATTCTTTGTTCACGATTAAGCTGACGTTTCGGCGGATTTCGCCTTCTTCAGAGCCTGGAAAGGTCAAGTTGATAGCAACTCGGCCAGACGCCTCCATAACCAAACAAAGAAACTCCAAACCAAGATTTCAATCACTTTGAACACAGCTTTGCACACTCACCGCTTTCTATGAGGTTTCCACTAAGTAGTGTCACGTAGAGACCAACCGCACAGAAATCACGTGGAAGTATAATGTGCCCCTCACATCAGAAAAGCAGTTTTATATACTGCCCTATATCACGCGTGATAATGAGGCATTCTTCCCTGCGGTTCATTTTCGGATTTCTGGAATTAATCCAGAGTGCCTTGAGAGTTTTTCGCGCCTGTGTTCTTGATTCGCGTGCGAGGATCGTGACACATACTTCGAAGTCGTCCCCGTTATGTCTCTGGGTCCTATGCGTGCCTAGCGGGGTATTTGGTCTATTTTTGCCGGCTAGGTGTTCTTTCATGCGGACACAGAGGGGTCTACCCGTTTCGCCAATGTATTCGTCACCACACGTCTTACAGGAGATCAGATAAACTTTACCCGAGCTCATGCAATCACCGTCTCTACCACTGGGGCAAATTATGCAATTTTGACTTGCATATAGACGGTCGTATAGGCGGTTACGAACTAGCTGGCGCTTAAGATTACTCGGTGGTGTTTCAACTACGCTCACCGAATCCTCTAAGCCCGC